AGGCACATGCAGTACTCTGTCGCAGACCCCTGACATCATCTGAGCCAGTTTGGGCCAACCTTTACATGGGCAGAGGTCTCAGAACTAAGAATCACTTTCTACATCTTTTTTGCAGAAGTGGAAGCTAGATTAGAAGGATACAAATTACTGACTTCATTGTGGGAGGCACTATAATGTAAATTCAGCAGTTGCCTGTTCTATTTAGCCACCAATATATCAGTTAGCGTGTGTGTGGGCATGCCACTGTGTGTACGGATCAGAATTAACTACAGCTTCGTGTGCTCGCGTGCTTCCCCTCAGCCTAGTTGCTAGCTGGGCATGGGAAAAGGGCAGAGTATTGGCAGCGCAGGGGATGTGTGTGGGGAATTGGTGGTTTGGGGTTGGGTAAGGCCAAAGGGGAACGTTGCAGAAGAGATGGAGGTAGAGAGTGGGATAGAGTGCAAGTCAGCAGAACCAGGCTCAGCTGCTTCCACTGCTCCTGCAACCACTGGCTTCAGGCAGAAAAACTTCATGGAAAAAATTAACAATTTATTTGATTTTAATTTTTCTTAAAGATTTGGTGTGCTGTTTCCTGAAAACATTACTTTATTTGGTAGCTTGAAGTGTAAAAGTAAGTTCTTTATAAAAATGGCACCACTGCAAACATCAGGACAATATGGATATAAAAGAAAAAGACAATTTCTGAGCCACGTACAAAGGGAACCTGGTTTCCAGTCTCTCGCACTCTGAAATGGGCCTGAAAGTATTCGGTAGTTTCTTCCTGTTGTGGTTTACCCTCAGTCGGCAACTGAGCACAACACAGCTGCTCGCTCACTCCCCCCAGCCCTGGTGGGATGGGGGAGAGAAGTGGAAGAGTGGAAGTGAGAAAACTCGTGGGTTGAGATAAAAACAGTTTAATAATTGAAATAGATTAAAATACTACTACTGATAATAATGATAATAAGAATATACAAAGCAAGTGATGCACAATGCAGTTGCTCACCACCTGCCGACCAATGCCCAGCCAGTCCCCAAGCAGCGGCCCCCCCAGCCAGCTTTCCCCAGTTTATATACTGAGCATGACGTCACATGGTATGGAATGTCCCTTTGGCCAGTTTGGGTCAGCTGTCCTGGCTGTGCCCCCTCCCAGCTCCTTGTGCACCTCCAGCCTTCTCAGTCGGTAGAGCATGGGAAGCTGAAAAGTCCTTGACTAGTGTAAGCACTGCTCAGCAACAATTGAAACATCAGTTTATCAACCGATATCAACATTATTCTCATCCTGAATCCAAACCACAGCACTGTACCAGCTACTAGGAAGAAGATGAACTCTATCCCAGCCAAAATCAGGACACTTCTTTGCAGTGGGACCACAGAGTGTTTCTTCTCTCTTTGTCCTCTTGGGAAAGCTGGGGGAGCTCAGCTGTGGGAGACTGGATGGATGTTATGTGTGCACACAGTGAAATCAAGCTTCAAAAAAACATAGCGAGAAGTGGGGCAGGCATCTTTAGAAATGTACCGATTCCTGTATTAATGAAGGGGAAAGTTTCTAGCAGCAGAGCTTGTTAGCCACAGTCTTAGGAGTCGTGATGCTGTCACAAATTGGAAGCTATTTCTCAGTAGTTAGAAAGCCTGTTATCAGTTAGCAAGCCCAAGTCCCCCAGTATTCATGGGTCTGTTTTGGGGTGCTCTCTGGAAGGTGAACTGGTGTTCACACAGCTGTCTTGCTTCACCAAAAGCAAGGACTGTGGTTGCTACAGACTTAGATGGTGATATTTTATGGGTAAGCCACCAGCCCAAGGCTTTCAGCTGCTGTGAGTGAGTGATAAGGCTCACTCTCTAGCATGGGAGCAGCATAAGGAATACGAATTGAGCAGTCTCTTAAAAACGACAGAGAAAAGTGTGGTAATATAAAAGCTTCAGTAGCTCAGTAAATGCTACTGGAAAGTTTCCTGTAGCACTTAGTAGTGAGTTATGCTGCTGTAGCCAAGTGAAGGATGATAGCCAGCCACTCCAGGAGCATGGGATGATGCATGTGGTACCGCCTAAGGTAGATTAAGGTCTAAACAGTGAAATGTTTTCCTGAAGGAAAGAGCAGTTTTTGACCATTGGTAGCAAAGAAACAAGATCAAAGCAGTCCTAATGAGGAACTGGCGTGCCAGAAGGTGAGGTCTGAAGGAGTCAGGAGCTAGCTTGCTGGTGCTTTGTCAGTGGCACTGTGTGCCAATCTGTCTTTTTAGGCACCCATGTACTTCTGAACATTGAGCCTCTATGGTACTACCAGGATGTACATTAGTGCACCATGTCAGGAACAGAGGATTTCTTTTGCATGCTTACGCTGTGCTGCTGGTAGATACGGCAATGCACTCAGGTAAATTTGAGAGCTACAAAGGGCAGCAGTCCAAGCGTTCCCTGCTTGTGAACGCTTGCTGCATGGTTTTGTTAAAGGAAGACATCCTTGAAGTAGTGGAGGAGGAAGGGGAGAATAAAGGCAGGAGAGAAACATTGAACCTTCTTTCTTCTGAACTCTAAATACAGCTTTGATTGCACAGCAAGGGCAGGGAGCAATGATGTCTCTGCCTGTGATCAGAACTGCCTGGAATTACCTCTAACTTTCTCCATATAATTCCCAGCTATTCCTCTGTGCTGGAAAAATTGGTAGGAGCTGCATGGATGTCTGTTAAGCAGTCCTGAATCACAATAGTGGCAATAGAAGCCCAAATGATTTGTTGGTAGGGAGAATGCAAATACCAGTCACTGCCACATCTTACTGACCGGGCCTAGCAGATATCCTCTGACCCATTTCTTCCTTCTCCCTGTTGCTTAGCAACAGATGCAGCATGTTAAAGTTAAAAAGGCTGGAAAACAGGCCTTCAGCAGAAGTTGCCCATTTTCATAGGTTTTATTTCCTTGAGGGCAGACGTTTGTAGTGGTTATGGTGAGTAATCACCCTTGTCATGGTCTCATATGAGCATTCAAAATGCTTTATTGTATTGCATGCCCTGTAAATCAGCAGAGCTCTTATAATAAGGTTCTTCTACCCACTTCTGACATCCAGGAGCCTGTTTGTATCTACAAAAGGTATCTGAGCACCTAAAAAGATGGGGAGGCTGCAAATTCTGCCTGTGCATTGAGCTGGAGGGTACTGATTCAGCAAACAGTAAACTGCTTTTTTTTAATGGAAAAGTCTTTACTGGTCTGCCCAGAGTGCAAAGTATCAGTCTGAACTGTGAATAATAGACAAAATAAATTCCAGTAATTAAATACCAACTTTGTAACTGCTGTATCCCACCCTTTCCTCCCAGCATTTGTATCATCTGATTGTAATGTATTGTACATTAATACACTACTGCTTTGTGACTATCTTGAAGTAAGAGAGCTATGTCCACCTGAGCTATTTATCTTTTATTAGAAAACAGCATGAAGGGTGTTTGTCATGGGCCTTGACTGTGCTATCCTAGATACTGCACATGCATAAGCACAAGTAGCCTTTAGTGCCTACAGCTGAACAGAAGATCGTTGATGGCCGAGCCCAAAGAGTTGTGGTGAATGGAGTTAAATCCAGTTGGTGACCGGTCACAAGTGGTGTTCCCCAGGGCTCAGTATTGGGGCCAGTTCTGTTTAATATCTTTACCAATGTTCCGGACGAGGGGATCAAGTGCACCCTCAGTAAGTTTGCAGATGACACCAAGTTGGGCGGGAGCGTTGATCTGCTCGAGGGTAGGAAGGCTCTGCAGAGGGACCTGGACAGGCTGGATCCATGGGCCAAGGCCAACTGTATGAGGGTCAACAAGGCCAAGTGCCAGGTCCTGCACTTCGGCCACAACAACCCCCTGCAGCGCTACAGGCTGGGGGAAGAGTGGCTGGAAAGCTGCCTGTCGGAAAAGGACCTGGGGGTGTTGGTCGACAGCCGGCTGAACATGAGCCGGCAGTGTGCCCAGGCGGCCAAGAAGGCCAATGGCATCCTGGCCTGTATCAGGAATAGTGTGGCCAGCAGGAGTAGGGAAGCGATCGTGCCCCTGTACTCGGCACTGGTGAGGCCGCACCTCGAATACTGTGTTCAGTTTTGGGCCCCCCACTACAAGAAGGTTGTTGAGGTGCTGGAGCGTGTCCAGAGAAGGGCAACGAGGCTGGTGAGGGGTCTGGAGAACAAGTCTTATGAGGAGCAGCTGAGGGAACTGGTGTTGTTTAGCCTGGAGAAAAGGAGGCTGAGGGGAGACCTCATTGCTCTCTACAACTCCCTGAAAGGAGGTTGTAGCGAGGTGGGTGTCGGTCTCTTCTCCCAGGTAACAAGCGATAGGATGAGAGGAAATGGCCTCAAGTTGCGCCAGGGGAGGTTTAGGTTGGGTATTAGGAAAAATTTCTTCACTGAAGGGTTATCAAGCATTGGCACAGGCTGCCCAGGGGAGTGGTTGAGTCACTATTCCTGGAGGTATTTAAAAGACATGTAGATGTGGTGCTTAGGGACATGGTTTAGTGGTGGACTTGGCAGTGCTAGGTTAAAGTTGGACTTGATGTTCTTACAGGTCTTTTCCAGCCTAAACGACTCTATGATTGGGAGAGCTATCAGAAACCAGTGAGGTGCTCATCGGCATTTTTGGGGTGTGTAGGCTGAGTTTGCCAGCCTAGCTATCACCAGGCTTTTGTGGGCTTCACAGCAAAAGCAACAACAGTGAAGAGAATTCCCAAGTTTAGGGAGCTGCTGCTGAGAGTGAGGACGAGCAGGAGAGTCGCAGCCACTTAGCAAGTCTGAACTTGGTGGTTGTAGTCAGGGCAGGGCAGTCCTTCAGCACGCATCTGAAGTGCAGTATCTACCATGTCACAGGAGCACTTAGAGTGCACCAAAAAGTTGTTGTGTAGTTCCTATCAGATGCTCCACTTTTAAATAAATAGGCATTCGTTTACATTTTGTTTATGCATCCTTCTATGGTTGGACAAGTGGGTCAAGAGGAATGTGAAACATGTAGCATATAAACGTGGGCTGCATTGTGTGCTCTTTAACATTATGTTTGTATTGTTTGCAGTGAGTGCCATAATTCTTCTGACCGGATCAAGGTGCGAGTATGGGATGAAGATGATGACATCAAGTCTCGTGTCAAGCAGAGACTGAAACGCGAGTCGGATGATTTCCTGGGGCAGACAATCATTGAAGTCCGTACTCTGAGCGGAGAAATGGATGTGTGGTACAACCTTGGTGAGCAGGGCTTTGGGATTGAAAACATGTCACATGTTAGTCTGGTAACATTCAGCAACACTTGGGTGCATCTGGGCAGTTTGCAAGAAAGGAAAAAAAAAACCAACCAAACCCCCACATAATTTCAAGGGGAATATGATGGTGCTGTGGAGCAGCTGCAAGGCTTTAATCCCAGTTAAAATGAAGAGAAGGAGTATAACATGTCAGAGGGTGATGGGTTTTCCCTGTCAGGCATTGGAAAGTACAATGGGTAAATGCTTGGAGCAGGTTTGGAGACATGTTTTCTGTCCTGTGCCCTTTTTTGTGCCAACACAAGCATTTTACCAGTCTCTAAGACCTGCAAGTGCACTGCACTGGGCTGGGAAGTTGTTGAGACCTTTCCAAGTGGCCAGAATAGAGTATTGTAGAAAGTACTGACAAGTAACCAGATGGTGCTGAGTTGACAGGCATAGTAATAATCCTAGGAGGTCCAAAATCTTGGTAGGGACAACCAGCAATTCCCAGGAGCTCAGGACTATGATGAAGTCAGGAACAAATTCCATATTAGTCAGCCCTGTTCTCAGAAAAGGGATCTGTCCTTGGTGGTTCTAGTTCAGCTGACTGAATGCAAGGCCAGGGACCTTATAACACATTTGCTGTCAGAAGGACTGGCTTACAGTCAGTCTTTCAAAGTTTTGAAAGAAAAAAGACAGAAGTTTGCTCCATGGTGACTCTGATCAAAAGCTCAACCTGAGCTTCCAGCAGTTTCTTTTCCAATGTTTTTACCCCAAGATGGCTGTGCTCTGAACATGAAAAATGCATGTGATTGCTGATGATTTTTCCTTCTAGAGAAGCGAACAGATAAGTCTGCAGTGTCTGGGGCTATTCGTTTGCAAATCAGCGTGGAGATCAAAGGCGAGGAGAAGGTGGCTCCGTATCATATTCAGTACACTTGCCTTCATGAGGTAAGAAGCGGGTTCAGCTCAGTCATCACCATGTCCCTTCTGTCTCTTGAAGAAGCAATTTTCTGACCTTTATTTCCTTGAAATGTTCCTCCTTGCCCTAGATGAGCTTTGTTTTCCCTGCTCTGCAGGCCTGGAAACATGCTGAATCATCAGACCTGCATTTGTCAGGAAGGCAAAGAAGGCTTTAGGCTGTCTCCCCCCGCACTGAGGGCTGGCTGGCTCGGTTTGTCGCACTGTCACAGCTGCACTGCTGTCAGGCAGAAATCATGCGTTGGTCCAACTCAGAGCCCCCCATGGGTTTAACGTGGAGAAGCCTCTGAATTTCCTTGAGTGATGTTTTCAGCATGTACTGTTCCTATGCCTTTCTTTAGAGAAGGCATATTAAAATGCTTTATTAGTAAATTCTGGTCTGGGGAAGGCTTTGACTCTGGCTGTTGAGTGATGCAGATATTGGTGTTATAAATTCTGTGCTGCTGCACTGGTGTACAGCTATGAACAGTTACTGGGAAACAGAAGATAAGCTACAGTTACTGGGTACTGACCTGTCTCAGGGTTGACTAAGCTGGCCAGGCAGTGCTGCAGAAGTTGGGAGGAATCCAAAGATGACTTGTAAGAAGGTCTAAAAGGAAAACCCTGTCTTGGAGAGATGCATGGTGCCCATCTATCTATCAAAGAGAAGGCAGGTGGCAGGGTCAGTCTCTAAGTGCCTGAATAAGGAAGAGTAGTCAGAGCCCCTTTCACCTGACATACGAGAATATCATGAGGTCCAGTGAGGTTTAAGCAAATTCAGATTAGAAAAGAAGGACAGATGTATCACAGAGTGGAATGTTCAGCTACGGGAACAACATGTTTATCCAGATGCTGGGCTAGATGAGCCCTGTGGTGTCTTCTGGCCTTGACAGGGAACAGGCAGATACGAAGCTTAGAAAAACATCAGTAGGCTTCTTTTAGGCTGTCTTGTGTCCTTCAATACATATTTATTGTTTGTTAATTCAGTGATGGCTTCTGTTTGGTAAGCTATTCTGGTTTTTTTCCTTCTGAACATGTGTGATCACTTGCTGCCCTTCTTTTTTACAAATATGTCTCTTAAGTATCACCTTCTTTCATCTGTGTATCATAAAATGAAGATGATTTACAGCTAGAATAATTTAATCAGGAAAAATAGTAGTGTAAAGCAGAGTCCTCTAGCTCCTAATGAGATCATTAGACTTTTGCATGCCATACTACAGGGAGGCAGCTGTCTGAAAGGCTGATGAATCTGTAAGTGACATGAATTTGAGGATTACTGAGAAACTCACTGAACTGAATGTGCAATTTCTCCATAGCAATGATAGCTGAAAGCCTTTGCAGTGTTAGATAAAGTGAAAGGTTATGTTGAATAATAATGCAAGTGTCTAGTTGTTAGGGGTGATCTTAAGGATGTCCTTTTCAGAAAAAAAAAATCTGTTTGGACTGTTCTGCTGTATAATAATAATAATTACAAAGCTGACACAGAGCTGTTATGTCAGCTAGTTTAAATAGCTTGTCCATGTTAAGGCATTTCATTCTGAGGACAGAAATGTGTAGGTTTCAGGAGACTAACTGGTCTGTGGTTTCACTGTATTGAAGCACTCCTCTGCATCTTGCACAATGTCTGCTGGGTAAAGTTGTAGGTATGCATGCAAAAAATTCAGCTAGGAGCACTCAAGAAGAAAAGAAGGTAAAAGCAGAAAAATACATAGTGGGTAGGGGGACAGAAAGAGGGAGGAGAGCAAAGAAATTTGTGTTAGTGCTGCCTTCTCAACAGTTCCAAGCTCTTCATGAAACTCACTTGGAGGCTTCAGCAGCCTCACATATAATTTCATTCCTGTTTTGTATTTCAGAACCTCTTTCACCATCTCACAGATGTGCAAGGGAATGGGGTGGTGAAGATCCCTGATGCCAAAGGAGATGATGCCTGGAAGGTGTATTTTGATGAGACAGCTCAAGAGATCGTGGATGAATTTGCAATGCGTTACGGCATTGAATCAATATACCAGGCCATGACGTAAGATGCGTTTCGTGTGGTCTTTAGTGCAGACAATCAGTGTAACTAATTGATGTGACTGTTAATATTTAGAAGATGGAATGCGTTGGTAACGGAAGGCTTGGCAGTGACAGCTGCTCCTTATGGGGCTTACTGTGAGCGGGAAAAGACTGCCTGTCTCTGAATCACTGGTTTCCTCAAAGTCTAGAAATTAATGTCTGACAAAGTGCTGGAATTAAGCATCTATCCGAACAAGTTGCATGAGCACTTTTAAAACTAATTCTAAGGAATTACACCAATTTCAGTAGTGTAAATGACCATATTTTATTATTGATAGCTGAGCCATTCCTGCTTTAAGACTCTAAAATCTCTGTTTGAGCACTCTTCTGTTAAAAAGATATTGCCCAAGGATCCCGCTGAAGATTTCTGATGATGTGAGAAGGGATGAGGTTTTGTGAAAGTGTTTGCCCTACATGTGTGTTGTGGCAATTGATACAATCCTTTGAAGTCGCTAATTTCCCAGGTGCTGCTGAAGGCATTTATAGGAAGTTTGAGTAACGGAGCCACTGATTTGTCCTCTTTGGAGCTAGGCTAATGCAGTTCTTGATCTTCAAAGAGCATTTTCCTTGTCACTATACTTTTACTTGGATTTCAGATGAGCCATTCTTCCTCTTAAAGACTGATAGTGCTATACTTAGCTCATTTCTTATTTCAAATGTAATATTAAATACAGCACAGAAAAGTGAAATTTTTCACGTTAGAAGCTGAAAGTTTTGGGGTCTGGGTCCTTGGATGAGTTATGATCTGTACTTATGTCACCTTGCAAGCACCTTTTCTGCATACTGATTTAAACCAAAGTGGAAAAGAATTGGAAGGTACCTCCGGAGGTCTAGTCCCTGCTTCTAACTTGGAAGTTGGACCAGACTGCTCAGGGCCTCTTTCAGTTTGTTGAAAATGTCCAAGGATGGAGGTCCACCACCACTCTGGGCTCCTGTCCTCAGGCTGTATTACTCTGGGGAAGAAATTCCTGGTTGAAATCCAAATTGGAAAATCCTGCTTTGAATTTCCTATGCTATAACTGCTGCACATTGCTGCTTATCTTTTAGTCTTCCCTCTGAAAGGATTTTGGCCTGGCTCAGTCTTCTCACTAACCCTCCCCTCTCTGCTAAGTAGTCAAGAAATTGATTAGAACCCCGCTCCTCATGCCTTCTCTTCTTCAAGCTAAACAAAGCCATTTTATGTGTCTGTCTGTATTTACCAAGTGCCTAAATGACCCAGTTGGTAGATAGTTATCATGTAGCAAGCAAGTTAACATTCAGGCATCAGTATCATGTTTGTCTGAAATACTGACTTGTGAATTCCTGTGAAGTTCTCTCACTGGAGCTTTTTTGGTTATAATCATTTGTAGGTTAACTAGCACAGAAGCTAATGTCTGTGATGAGTCCCTTAGGGAGAAAGCTACATTTAGAAAATAGTTCCCAAATTTAGTTTGGGAGCTCAGTGCGGATTACTGCTTAAAAAGGACTGCTTAAAAATGGCCCAACTCTCCTGTCTGTTGGAATGAACTTTACTTGCCGTGTACCATAATATCAGAGCTCTTAAGCTCTGATATTCCTCCCCCCCCCCCCCACCTCCCACACCCCTTATGTCTAACAGATTTTCTTTGATTGATCAATCATTTCACAAGCCTGGATGCTTCTGGCATAATTTTGAGATTTCCTGCAGGAAGGTTCCTTGCACTTTAATGAGAGCAGTTAAATGGGAAAATGCAAATGAGCGTGCACGCTTCCTGCAGGCTGGAAGGGTTAGCCCTAAGGAATCACGTATCAGTGCAGCACAGAAATATTAGCGTGTGCTCCCGCTGTGCTTGAATGCTTTCCATTTGCTGCTGCCTCATGTCACCTCAGAACCTGTGGCTACCTCAAGTGGCAGCAAATTATATAGATTTCCTTGTGTCAGGCTTGGTTCTAGGAGTTGGCATCAGGACCCAGGTTGTCACCTAAGTCACAAGCTGTTGGCAACAAATAGTTGAGAAGCTATTTTATGATCTGGAAAGGGCTGTAGTGAATTTCTCTTGTTTCGAGCATATCTGTTGTCTAGATGGCATCTTTCTGAAAAAGCTCAGAGATGCTGGAGATTTACAGAAAGGGAGAAAACATAACTTTTGTCTGTTCATGGTGCCAGTCAGCGTAAGTGGGCTATTAAAGGGACAGAGTCAAGTTGTGCTACACAAAAGAGACCAGAATGACTTACAGAACTGTCCTTTTGCAGGCATTTTGCATGTCTCTCCTCTAAATACATGTGCCCAGGCGTGCCAGCTGTGATGAGCACCTTACTTGCCAATATCAATGCTTATTATGCGCACACCACTGCCTCCACAAATGTGTCTGCTTCGGACCGCTTTGCAGCCTCCAATTTTGGGGTATGTTTGCGTGTTTGGTGATGTTACAATTGGACTTCTGTAATTTGCCTACGGTGCTTCTGCCTTTCAGTAAATAACTTGTTCTGTTTAAGGAACACTAAATCTGTGAGGAGTTGGAAGCTGTGGAGCTCTTCTAGACTAGACAAAGAGAATGGTTTTATTGTTATCATCCTCACACATTTTAGGTATTAATCAGCATAATGCATTGTGATGTTTATTCTTTATGTTCAAATTACACTGGAGCACAGATGGTATGGAAATGAGCCAATAGTACTAAACTCTGCATGGTGATGCTGTTGATAAAATATACTGTGCAATGTGACCGTTTCAGAACATTGTTTTTAAAAACAGCAACTGCTTTAAGAAAAAACAAAAAAAAAAAGTCTGTCCCCCTAATGGTTAAAATGTTTTTTGTATAACGTGGTGGAGTTGAGCGTGCTGGAAAAGTATTTGGAAAAGCTCGTGCTTCCCATCAGACTGAAAATTTGTAGATTGAATGAGGAGGTGTTCACAATGCCAAACCAGAATCCAGCAGAGAGACCTGACCTCGAGAAGATAGTCACAAGAAGCCTGTAATACTTGTCACTGAACTAATAGATAAGATCTTGGAGCTGTGTCATTGCTCTGAATTACACCCTTTTCTGCCTGTTCCTTTCTTCATCTCTGAATAAATATTTTCTCTTAAATATAAGTTTGGTGCAAATTGCAGACTAGAAATCAGAGGGGTTTTTGTTCTGCCTCTACTTCAGAGTGATAATGGAGTATTTTTCTGACAATTCTAATGTTACACAGACTTCAGAAATAATTACAGTATAAGAGTAAATCCAAGAATTGAAAGAAAATACTGTTTGCACAATACCATGCATTCATATTGCTTCCTCCCACTTTCCTGAGACCTGACACAAATTCCCTGATATCCTGCTGCTTACTCTGAACATCGATTGGACAGTGATGATATCCGAAGTTTATTAGTGTTTTCTGCTCCACAGAAAGAACGATTTGTGAAGCTTCTGGACCAGCTTCATAATTCACTTCGGATTGATCTCTCAATGTACAGGGTGAGTGGGAATAAACAGAATCCTTTCAGGCATTCTGCTGGGCAGAGGGGAAGTGCACCATTTGGATTTCTCTTAGATTTCTAACCTTTTGGGTACTTTGTGTCTTAAGGAATTGTCATGACAAGCTTGTTGCTCGAATACACCATTTTGTTTTCCTCATGGATAGGACTTAAATCATGTTTGTTTCTTCCGTTATAATTTCCTCAAGACTTCTGAAATAATTTAAGGATTGTGAACTATGCTGATCTCTGATACTCTCCCAGAAATGCAAGTTGGATTGGATTAATTAATTTGAATTATTCTTATCAGCTCCTTCAGTATCATCTACAAAGGAAAAACAGACTTGTTCTCCCCTAGTGAGACAGAAATCTTTCAGAGGACCTGCAGCCATGTTGTCACTTTTTTCAGGTTTGGCAAACTTGAATCACTGTCCCTGACTCTGGATCTACAAGATGTGCTCTTAGGTTGAGATCCCCCCCACTTCAGCATATTGGGAAGAGATGAGTTTCAAATGTTGGCTTCTGTCCATCAGGCTTCTTAAACCCTCTAGTTTCTCCCTTTGCTACTCCAGAGCCAACATAGTCTTATTATGTGACTTGGCTTTTTTTTTTTAATTCCTTGCTATATTATTTTAATTAGTGACTAATTCATTGAAAAATTTAAAAATTATGAGCTTTGATTTTATTTATTTATTGAAAAGTAGATCCTCTTCTGGTTAGTGCATTTATCTGAAACACAGTAAAACACACAGAGGAGAGAAACACGAGTGGACTAAGAGAAGTGCATTAGGAAGACAAACAAAATGGACAAGGGGCAAGGTGCAAAAGAAGATAAAAGGAGTGTTGTGTAAAGAGCTATTCTAAAACTTTATTACTAGTAAGAGAAGGTCTAAAGAGAGCACTGATCCACTGAGTAGCAGAGGGAAAAGTAGCAACACATGGCAATAGGAATCTGTAGTGGTGATGCCTTTTTTGTTTGCTTGGTCTTCAATAAAGCTGCTTTCTGGTGGCTAATGCAACTAAACCTTGGACAAACAAATAAAATCTTATGTAATGGACCAGGAAAGATTTGTGTAATTTAAATAATTTAGATGTTATCTAATTGGCAGTATATTTAGAGAAATTGCTGAAGAAATTTGGGAGCTCTTAGTAATTATTTTAAGACCCCTGAAGGGCAGGTTAAGTTCTGGAAGAAAAAGGTGTTAGTTTCCAGCTTTCAAGACAGGAGATGGCAATTTACAACTTAAATTACCCAGCTTAAGCCTCCCCCTTCCCCTAGTTTAATCAAGCTATTTGTAAGCACTTAAAACAATGAATAACCAGCAGTGTGGACTTCTGAAAAAGAAGGCATCAAACCAATGCCTGTTCTTTCCAGGGCAGGATGGCGGGTGAGGAGGGGAGAGGTGGAGCCCTCCAAAGAGTAGCTCCAAGTCACCCTCTGAATAATTAATTTGAAAAGCGTTTTGTGAGCAAGTGCAGTTATTCTGTACACATGTCAGTTGTTCTTTTTGTTGGTTGGTCGCTAGCTGACACAAGCATAGAGGAGGTTGAATTTCAATATAGATAATGTTATCTTTTCCTGATTATTATTCCTAATCAAGAACATGCTGAGGAACATAAACGCTTGTAAAAGACACAGGAAGGAAAGAGTGGGAATGTAGGAAAGGACACAGTGCCTGGGGTCAGAAAGGGAACAGTCTCTTGCAAGAAGCAAAGCTTGCTGCATTAGCATATGCATTTACATGCATATATATACATACATACACACACACACTTACTATTTACATGCATATATATACATACATACATACACACACACACTTATCATATCTGGAAGGGACAATGAGACTTCTAACTTCAGTGGAACCCAGAGAATGGAGAAGGAAGCTATGGCTGTGGACAGCGGGGTGGTGGGCAGAGTATGTAAAATAAATGCATTAGAGCAAAGGAGGCACTGAAGGATACATGCTTATCTTGGCAGATCGGATCTTACAGGGGACTGAGTGGTTACAATGACTTCTTACAGGGAACAGCGCTCATTTTCCCCTCTCAGTCCAGTTTATTTCTCTGGAAAGGTTGCTAATATACCACACCTCTTGGTGTCTCAGAAGAGAAGCCAAAAACCAAGCGGTGAGTGCAGAAAGGAAAGGGCCCACACAAGCAACCTCGAGCGAGAGGCCAGGGCTGCCGGAGGCAAGGCTGTTGCTCCCTGCCTGCTCCTTCTACAGCCAAGGAGAGATCTTCTGCTGCCGAGGGTTGTCAGTCTCCTGGCATCCACAAACTTTACGTTCATATGAGAAGCTATTTAATTAAGCAAACAGATAAGCTCCTGCAGCAAAAAGGCCTTATTTATTGAGCATTGTTTTGACTGGTACAAGCTTCTCGAGCAGGAAATGTTTCCAAGATACTTTCCTTATTTAGCACATGCTTGAAGCTTTGCATGGATCCGACTGTGCTTTCCAACAGGATTTCCCTTTTTTGTCGACAGAATAATTTCCCAGCCAGCAGCCGTGAACGGCTGCAGGACCTGAAGTCTACAGTGGATTTGCTGACCAGCATCACTTTTTTCAGGATGAAGGTAATGTTGTGGGTGGGGATGGGAACGGGGCCTCCGCAGCTTTTGCCACAGGAGTTGGTTTCCCATTTTCAAACCATTGTTTCATGTTGTGCTTTAGACACTTAAGGAAAATTGAGATCATCTGCTGACCATGTAATAAACATCCACATTTTATCTTTACTTCACTGTATTTTGCATCATGAAGATGAAAGTTGTTTTTTCCCTGGGATTCTTCAGTCATAAATACAGCACAAAATAATTAAAAAAAAAAAAAGGAGGAAAAAAGAAAATTGTCTGATTTTAGGAAGCTAATTTACTTTTGTTAATAACATTAGGAAGCTTTCCTATAAAACTGTCTCCAATGTTTATCAGTCACTACCATCTCTTCACCATCTTTTATCTAGTAAATACTTTTAAATTTATTTCTTGGAGGGTAAGATACTGAAATGGGATAGTATCTCTCAGTAGAAATCCAAGAGAATTGTTATGAAAGCTAATGTGCTGGTTCTGTAGTTAAGTTTATTGTTCTAACAATGTGTAATGAGATTTTTTTTTTAATTCCTGATTTTTGTTTCTAAACTTTTTTAAAAATACTGTTGTAGGTTAGCACATGTCACTTAGTAATTTTTATCTTATCAAAACCACAAAGTCTTTTTTAATTTGAGCTATTTCAGGAAGTGCTTAAAATTTTACTCTTAAGTCCTAGGGTAAATGATGTTTTAGAACTTTATATTGAAAGTGTTCATTCAGACAATATGTCTGTATTGAAAGTTTGCTTTATAGAAATACTCTGAAAAGTTTAGAGGTAGTGATAATATCAAAATTGCCTCAGGTTATAGTTTTATTCGCAGGTGATGCCTGCGTATCTGTTTAGTTTAAAGTAACCCTGAAGTGTTTTTCTAAAGCAATGTAACAATGAAATAATGATTAGACCTGTTGTTGCAAGAGGAGAAGGCGTATTGGTTGGCATGTCCCTAAGGATTCTGGTGTGCTTTAAAATTCAGTAAACCTTGTGAAGAAAGATGTCCTTAAAGAAAGTTATTGTATTTAAAGGCATGCAAGCGTTTGGTCTTCAGCAAGACTTTCCAGATCAGATGTAATGTGCTCCACTTGTCTGTTGCACGTTCTTCCAGTGTTTGAAAAGATTGCTCATTGGCTTCATAGCAAAATCCTATAAATTTAGCAGAAATTGTGTGTGCTTGGCTCAGACTATACACATATCAAGTCACATGATTTATTTATTCTGAAGAATCTTCCTTGCCACTTCAAAATCTCTTTTATGCTCCAAATGATCCTGTGGGGACGTAAGTGTTGTCACTGTTGTTTTATGCCTGTGGAGAGCGACCCGTTCATGGTTTCAGGTCACTGATAGCACAAGTCACTGAAAGCACATCCACCAAGTCCTGGGTAGTTCCCAAACCGGTGACTTGTTCTTTCCCTGTTTGATTTATGAACAGTGCTTTGTTTGACTCTTTGTTGTCTCCTTGCCAGGTCCAAGAGCTGCAGAGTCCACCCCGAGCCAGCCAGGTAGTAAAGGACTGTGTAAAAGCTTGCCTCAACTCCACCTATGAGTACATTTTCAACAACTGTCACGAGCTGTACAGTCGCGAGTACCAGACAGATCCTGTGAGTAGCTGATAAGCGGGCAGAAATCCAAGTTTCTGATTTTCTCAAGATAATAACAAGAATACTAATTGATATAAAAAGCCACACAAACAAAATCATGTGACCTGTTATCTTCTGAATGCACAAAATCTGTAATCAATTAATGAGCACTAATTAGTAAGTGGAGGACGATAATTGTTTTACACTAACTAATTACAATTCGTTTTGCCAGCCTCAGCTACTTTATTTCATGAGCAGTTATTTGTGAAGGGAGGTTTAGATGCAGCTTTGAGTGAGCAAAAGCCAATTAGAGCAAATGTAGACTGATCAAAAAAAATGTCTTTAGCATAGATAAACCTCAAGCAGCAAAATTTTATCTTGTTTTCTAGCACCCAGTGTTCTGCACTGGGCTTAGGAGGTATCTCTAGACACAAATAGTTTTCAAATCCATGAGAGCTCTACTGGGCACTCTGCACTAATGCACACACAATGTGTCAACATGGATTTAGTCATCAACCCAGGTGCCTAAAAAGCAAGTATTTGGAACAAGCTTAGAGCAAATGATGTCTCAGCAGGTCTCCTGGAGCCTGACTTGCTCTTGGCATGGTAAATGACAAAACAGGGATTATTTGGGTTTGAGGCCACCGGTAAGCAACATGGTTTGGCATATTACTGTGTTTTGCATTAGATCACGCAAGTTGCCAGCAGACAATAATTTTAAGCTCTTCAGAAGAAAGGGTCCACAGGTAATTAGTGTTTGGAGTTTGTATCGTGATCTACCTTTGTCAGCTTTTTCTTTCCCCTTTAAATGTACACCGGTTTTCCAATGGCTTCCTTCCCAGAACAAAAATCAGGACCTTCCTCCTGAGGAACAGGGCCCCAGCATCAGGAACCTGGATTTCTGGCCCAAGCTCATCACTTTGATAGTTTCCATCATAGAAGAGGATAAGAATTCTTATACCCCAGTCCTGAATCAGTAAGAATCTTCCATGTCCTGTATGGCTAATGCTAGTCTCTGTGTGCTCTGCTTTATTTGTTAAACTGCTTTCTATCTCTTCTGTCACTTGTGTATTTATAGAAGTACTTATCTTGTCTGTCTGTCTTTCTGTCTTATCTGTCTCTGTCTATATAAATAACTCTTTTTGATTGGGATGGAGGAGTTTCAAAAGGTTCAGTTACGATGGCGTTCGAGCACAAACACCCTGATTATTACAATCCTGAACTCAGGGAGGCACCTGAAAATGGGGTGAGAGTTCTTTTGGCTTTTTCTGATGTTGAGCAGTTCTGGGATGCAAATTAATGCACACAGTGCTGCCGTGGTGACAACACCTTACGCTGTGGTTTAGGAATGTGGAGTTCAGTACAGCACTGGGAGATTGCACTGGGTGGGGTTGGCACAGCACTGGAAAGGAACCTGAAACCTGTCTGTTTAACTGGTGGATACTCCAGTGGGCAACAGTCCAACAGTCCCACAGGGCAGGAGAGAGGGAGATATCTGATGAGGTATTATGCACAAAAAGCTGGATTATGCCTAGTGATCATTGATTTAACATGGCAGGGACACCTGATTAGTGTTCACCTGTCAGCCTAGTAACCCTAGGAAAAAAAGGAAAAAAAGAAATATGGACAAGAAAGGGGAAAAAGGTGCAAGGGCATTGAGATCACATTCCCAGAATTATTGTATTTATCTGTTTTAGGAGAGACATCCAGGGCCAGACTTTTTGAGTTACAAACAGTCTCAACAGCAGTGTTGTTTTCAGGTTATTTAATCTATGCCACAGAGTCCAGTCCATGATCTCCAGTTTCCACCTGGTCATTTATCTAGGGTGAAGGAAGCGTGTGTAATGTGGAGCTTCTCAGCTTGTAGTTTAGCTCAGAGCTGAATAAAGAAGAGCCCTTTGCTCTGATATATGCCAAAGCCTTTCCCAAATGTCCCCTCAGGTTTCCTCAGGAGCTTGCTGTTGGCAAGATCAGCGCGGAGGTGATGTGGAGTCTTTTTGCCCAGGATATGAAATATGCTACAGAAGGTAAGAGAATTCCTCACTGCTGCCAGCTGACTTGTTTGCTGATCTCTTGTTCTCCATCCATTTGGTGTAAATGAGGCTTAAGCACATTAGTAGCACCACTGTTTGGAGCAGGGATTTCTAGTGGTTTGTTTGTGGACAGCTGCTTTATGGGTGAGAATTGAGGCTGAGATCTGCGTGAGTTCTAGAACCTGTGTGTCAGGCTGTGTTGCAAGCTGTTTATTGTTATCCCAGCTGGTTTGAAATCAGAAGTTCACCTTGGCCTGAAGATATGATGGCTTAGATCAGCAGCAGATTTTTTCTGCAATGTACAATGGTAGAAAGGGCTGGAGAAGTGAGTGGACTCTGGGTTGTGCCATGGCTGTAGTTCCCGGGATGATACAGCATAGAAGGTCTAAGCCTTTGGCAGAAACGTGCTGTTAGAACAAATCCTGCTGCAGGCATCTTAATTTTGAATTAATGTTTGCATAATTCCACCAGACTCCTAGTAAAGGAGAAACTTTACTGTTTCTGAAAATGACTTAGGCATGCAGAGCCCAGCAAACTCCCAGAAAGGAATTCTACTACTTGCAGTACTCTTCTGATGGTCAATTACAGTTTCTGAACTTGGTTTTAGTTCTATAAATTCATTTGCACAATGTAATCAGCTTCTTACAAGGTTAAGAGACCATCCAGCTCCCACAGGCTCTGCAGCTGTGGTAGCAGTTGTTCTCCCAGTATTTTGCAGGGTCAGGCTGTATGATCATCTGTAAGGTGATATTGTGATAAAACAGAAGTGCCAGTGCTGCCTATGGCATGCTAGCTGTATTCATATTCCAAAACCAAGTCAAGTTACTGCTTTTGGTCACTCACAAAATTATGCTCAATCCATTTGCCCCCAGTTTGATCTAAGCTCACTTATAGGAGTGACAGCCTATTAAGCTCTTACTTCAGACTGCTAGAAAAAGAACTGCTGCCAGCTAAGAGAGTTTCCTGCATTTTGTTCTTCGGCAGCGGTCTGTGGGGTTGCTCTGTAAGTGAAGAAGATTGACTCAATCTATTTCTTAGTCTCTGTCAATGCAACAGGGGTAGAGACTGTGCTGTGGGAAGACACCCTTTGCCAGCTCTAGGCTTGAATTCAGCAGGCTGCAGGTCTGGATGAAATGTTCTCACTTCTGTGTTAGGAACTTTTTATATACGCTTGTACCCCACAGTGCCTTTGTCTTGTGAGGTCGTGTTGATGTAAGAACAGACACTGGGAAGAAGGACTAAGACCTACTAACTGTGTTGAAGAGTCTCTTTTATAGTGACTGTCACTACTTGCTGGTGTGTTAGAGATAAGGCAACTGTGATAACTTCATGTTCACTTTCCCTAGAAACTGTTTGCTCCTGCAAACATTTTGGCTCCCTTTTCCATTTTGTCCTTATTTACCCCTGTGCGCTCACCCTCAGGAATTTATAATGCAGTTTGCTCTTCTATGTGTTGAAAGTGCTGTATCTTCTTCCTTTCCCAGCAGACATGAGAATTGGATCTCTCCAGGTTTAGTTGCTAGACTTTTCCTAGGATTCCCTTTCCCTGTTGCATCCAAAATGCAGCTGCATGAAGGTTACTGATTGTGTGTGTGAATTTGACTGTCAAAGGGGACATGACTTTGGTTCCCCCCCCGGCTTTACCTGGCTCTATTTGATTCCCAGTGCCCAAGTTAACTTTGCCTCCCAGGTTTTCTCTGTTTACATCTCATACTGTGTCCCCTTTGACTCTGTTCTCCCTGGTGAATCTGGGCTTATTTTAGCTTTTCCTGACATCCTTCTAGTCACTTGTGAGCTTCTTGAGACAAGGATTGGCATAACGTTTCCACCTGTGAGTTCATCAGTGCATAGCAAATACTTGCTGAAGGAGCATCCCTCTTCAAAGTATTTCTTGGTGAGAAAAGTTGACAGAAAAGCAGCTGATGGACCAGGAAGGGTTTGCATTTTGAACGAATGCTGAAAAACTGCACGGTACATGTATTTGTACTCTAGCTGTGCAAGTCCTGCAGGAGGGTTGAACAATGATAGAGTCTGTTTTGGTGTGTGTTTCTTCCAAATATATATTCAAGGAATCCTCAGGGTGCAAAATTCTGTTTGAGGCAAGTGTGATTCCTCACTGCTTTGCTCTCCAGAAACTTATGAAGATAACCTTTATAACAAGCTCTACAATAATTTAATTACAGGCCTTACTACATGTATTTCAAACAGAGATGATTGGATTAGTTCACTGCATTTTTTTTTTTAAATGAGGGGAAAAAAGGGATTAAAGGAAACAGATTGTGATGTGTTACTGTCCTCAGCTCTTGGCTCTGTCATTTCTCGGTTCAAGTTGCTAATTTTTCTACAAGTTTAACTACACCAAGAGTTTCGTATTCCTGTCTTTGGCAATTTGTAGAGTAATCCCTGGGTACATTTCTGGTGTGCTCCAAGATCTGTACGCGTCAGGAGCTCTCTGCAACAAAAGCTAATCTGTTTTGTGGAGATATGTGCACATGAACCCAGAGTATAATACTTGCTCCTAACTTTCTTCATGGTGTTTTCCCTTATGTTCTGTTCCTAAGTTCTGGATAACATGAGCTCATTCACCTCACCAAGTGGTAAGTTCATGCTCCTTAGCAGAGTTTATAGTTGTGAGCAGGCAAAGACTTTCATCTGCTACCTGCAGTTTTAGCACTTTGGATGTAGTTGCTATATTAGCTTTAGTGTCCTGTAGTTTTATGCCAGTGATGAGCAGATCTGCAAAGATGTGGAAGACCATACTGCTGCTGCAGAAATGGAGGGTATATGCTGCTTAGGATACTCCTGTTCTGACTGGTCACTCCAGTTGTTGTTTGATGGTACCCAATACACTGAGCAGTTCTGGGTGAGAGCCTCTTTGCTGGGTCCCAGGCATTAAGCTGTAGATAACAAATGATGGAGAATAACTGGTGAGGTCAGAGCTCTAGTTCATGTGTGGCTCTATTCCTTCCCTCCTGGCTGAGGTGACGATTGAGAGTCTCTGGCCCTTTTAGTCTGCAGTGGGAGTAAATTTTCTTCTAGCTTAAAGGGCATGCAATGGCTTTGGTGTAGAAAGAGTGCGGGCCTGGCTGTGTGAAACTGCCCTCTCCCTCCTTCCAGCCTAATGCTTCTGCGTTGCTCTCCAGTATGCAGTGTGGAAGAGTTGGGAGGCTGAGGTGGGAGATGGCTTCTCTGAGTTGGAGAGCAGTGCCTGGCTGTGTGAGTTATTTTCCTTTTTCCTCACGGGTGGCAGCTAATCGTGCCTCTCCCAGCTGGAGCTTACCCCCATGTACACTACATAGCCTGTGCAGTAGGGCAATGTATAAATACTAATCCTTTACTAGGAAGACATTAAAAGACAGTAATAGAAAATCAGTGTCATCCTTGAGAGGAATGGTTCATCTTATTTTGGACGCATCAGCATTAGGAGAGTTGTAAATTGGAAGCATCTCTAATAGGAAGAGAGACTGAGTAGACTTGGTGGGCAGGATTGAAATAAATCATTCTGCCACATTCTCACTTCTAATAAGGGGAGGGGGATCAGACGCACGCACAGATGCCAGCCGTCCAAAGTGTTAACGCTTCAACAGCCTCAGTACCTGTTAGAGTCTCTTTGCAGAAATTCAGCATTATTTGCTAGAAGTTAACCCATGGAAAGTAGGCTGATGATCAAGAAAAATATCCATGGATTAAGGATGTGGTGAAGTCCTGTTTTCTGCCTGAAAAATAGAACTGGACATGGCACTAGAAAGTGTGCTGCTAGGAAGCAGTTCCCTATTAATGCCTTAATAATATGGCTTCGGTGACCCTAAAAGCTCTTCTCCAGAGGAGACTGTTTGCAGACGAAATCTGCTGAGGAAATGTGAGAGACTTACAGAACTCTGCAGTCTTTTCAGGATAAAACACAGCAGTTGCTGCAAAATACCTGTGCACTCTTTCACTGTTGCTGCTGCTTAAGCTCTTTAAAAGCCAGCAGGTTATAAAGCAGAACAGAAGTGTGCTAAGACTGATGGCTCCAATGCTTCACTTTACTTTTTCTAAAATGGGTTTCCAAAATATACCTCTGGCCGATGTGTTTCCATGTCACCTTCAAGTGCTCTTAAACATTTTCCTTTACAAAGAAAGCAGCTGATCAAAACCGTGCAGGGCCCATTGGAGGGGGGAAGGCAGATGGTACAAGCTGTTGGGGATGAGAGGGGGGTTTGTGGCTTTGTTGGCTTTCTTTGTCCTCCAGCATGTTTGTGCTGTTATAGTTCACTTTTGTCTTTTCTCTGTCACAAGCCCGACCTTTCTTTCGCATACGTAAAGTTCTCTTTTATGGTGGTAAGACCTCCCCTTCTTTTTTACTTTCCTGTAGTTTTATCCCCTTGGTGTGAAGCCTCTCCTTTACTGCTTAGATGGCTAGGTAGTCCTAGTAGCAGACCTTGGGCTTATGCTTCTGTGGCTGCTTTGTGTCTTCCTCTTCTGCAACTCAGTAGTGTTTTAAATGCCCTAAAAAGCAGGAAAAGGCTTGAATTACTTGCTTTTAGTGCACTGCTTAATTTTGAGGAAGTAAATCTGGTTTGAGTCCTTTTTACCTCCAAGTCAGACCTTCCCTCTGCAGGAACAGCGCTTTCCCCATGCAGGAACAGCACCTGGGTGGCAGCGCATATCGAAGTTAATGAAGTTATAATTGTCCATTGATTTCCTCACTCTCACAGGGAGCTAAGCGGGCACGGTTATTGCTGTGTTTGTTTCCAGTTTAGATCCACAGAGAGAGCTTTGCATTTTCTTCTGCAGTTGTTCTTGTGGGAGGTCAGCAGCTCAGACACTGAGTATACTCATACCTCCTTAGAGCTCAGGAAAGATACTAGATTTACTAATGTAAAATATGAATGGACTTTTCTTGGCTTCAGGACAAGCAAATTCACTGTGGAGAGTAATAGATCAAAGTACATGTGAAATAGTAGCACATGTGAAGTAATTTGTCCATCGAACCACCACCCCTGGGGACTATGTGTCTCAGATATTGGGCATTTTAATGTCTTTAAAACAAAGGTTGGGTTTCTTTTTTTTTGAGATTGTATCTGTGTGGATCTGCTACATGTGGATTAGAGGAAATCTGTATTACACTGTTACAGAGGTTTGCAAACAACTCACTGGAGTGTTCCGCTGCTTGGGAGTTGACAAGGCTTATGGAATAATTTTGCATGAAAAGTTCTTTGGGTTTTGTGTCTTCAGTTGGATAATTCATAATTTATTTGACCTTTCTTCTTGTGCATGTTGTTGAAGCTTCAAGAGAGATGTGGAAGTTTCTTAATATTTTGAAATAGTTGCAAGAATTCACACTTACATGAAAACAGATGATGATATTGTAAGATAAGCTTGTCTGTCAGGTAACTGATCAGAAAGCTGGGGCCATTTTACATCATTAAGACGTATCTTCTGCTGATGAATATCTGTAGCGTGTATTGCTCGCATGTGCATATATCTACCCAGTTACTGGATACTTGTACCGAAGTCCTAGATTAAAGACATTCAAAGTTAAGAGAAAGACTTCCACTTTTTAACATAGTTGGATCCTGTCTACTCGTCAGCAGTGATGCCCTTGGATAGTTACATCAATAATGAGGTAACCACATAAAAGGTAGGAAGACAAGTCTGAAGTCAAATTTTTGGGAAAAAAAAACTGAGTCTAAGCCAAATTCATGTATGTTTTAGTCTCATATCTCACACTGTAGTCATGGACTAGCAGCTTGCTGTGGTGCTAGAGTGAACGAAGAAGCCTGGCACAAAGTGTATTCATGCTGTTGAAGCATGGCAGAAGGAGGAGATGGATACGGACAGGCAGCACTAGGGAGTGGCGGTGCAGAATTGGTCAGCTGATAATTCAGGATCGTAGTGCAGGCAAAAGCCGGTTGCTGAGTCCTCTTAGCATCATGAAAAAGGAATTAATTTTATTCTTTTCAAGGAGGATTTTGAAGAAAAGCAGTGCAAAAGAAGGAGCTGCCTGTGTAAGCACATGAGGGATGGCTTGGGAGAAAGCGTTGAGATGCTTTTGAGAGAACTTAACAAGTAGTTTAAAAACAGGGATTGTGGGCTGATCAGAGGTGGGAGTCAACTGCTGAAAGATGGTAGTGTGGATATAGGCTGTGAAGGGCCTTGAGAGCGAAGACATGGAGCATACATTTCTCGTGAGAAAGGGGAGCAGTGGTCTATGGAGATGATCTCTGCAGAAACGTAGGCCTGAGTGTGGCAAGTGCTTTAGCAGCGTAGGTGTGTGTGAAGGGTTGTATTGTGGAGGTATGTGCGTTATACAGGGAGGAACTGCATTGTCCCAATATAGCCTGGGTACAAAAACACAACGAAACCTGGCAGGAGGAAGAGGCTCAGCAGCAGGTAGTTATCCATGAGTTGCTTCAGTGGACTGTGCTCAGAAAAGCAATACAAATAAGAACACAGTTGCCTTCTGAGAGAGAAGTGTCATGAATTTCTCCAAACTGGGGATCAGGGAAGGCTCCAGCTCCTGTGTAGCTTGTTTGAACTTGCTTGTGATTCACACTGTCAAACTCTAAAGAACTTGATTCTTTCTGCCCTTTCTTTTAGGGGGTGTAGTGTAACATGTTGGTATTGCCTGTGTTTATATCCAAGAATGAACAGATTTGCTCTTGAACAGATTCACTCTCCTTGTTTTGTTTCCTGCAAAGATGAAATCTGGACTGTCATATGTTAAATGGAAAGGCCGTAAGAGATTGCTCTATTTTTACTGCTTTGACAACCAAAAAGTCTTTAACAAATGGAAGTTTAGTTGGAGCTACAGAAATAAACTCCAGAGCCCCAAAGGTCAGCCACCAAGAACCCCTGCCTGCTGCCAAAATCCTGTGTTGTGAAGATTTTGTGGCCCTATAGGTGCTTCATCCTCAAAACCATTGCAGACTGTGGACATGCTTTATAAGACTGTCCTATGCCTGATGCAGTGATAGTGGTAAATTCAGACCTAACTGCTTTTTTTCCTTCTTTACAGAGCATGAGAAACACAGACTGTGTAAAAGTGCAGACTATATGAATTTACACTTCAAAGTGAAGTGGCTGTACAATGAATATGTTCGTGATCTGCCTGCCTTCAAGGGAAAAGTGCCTGAATATCCAGCGTGAGTGTGTTATGTCTCCTATAGTAAATCCCCACTATGCATCTCCTTGTGTTACCTTGAGGGTAGTCATTTGGTTCTCATGTGGCTGCCTTCATGATACACCATTTCTTCACTCCTGATTTTCTGTGTTTACATGCGTGTTTGTCCCCTCTGGTGTTCTGTGCCTCTGTCCCTGACACAATTCAATCCCTTATTGTACAGCATTTCCCAAGAGCTCAAAAGCTTTAGCAATGGCATGGACAGTCTTTAAGCCACTTTGTGCCTGCAGTGTGGGCGTTGGTCAATTCTTGAACAGCGGACTTTTGGATGTATGCTTACATTCTTGTGTTAATAGATACAGCTTTATCTGTATGTATGTCTGTATGTGCGTGTATTAATGTCATGGATACACAGACAACAGGATTTGCGAGTAAAGAGAATGTTCTTTTTTTTTATTAAGACCCAATGGTTTCGTTGGAAACATCGGATAAGCGGTTGCTCTTAAGCTTTAAGTGATTGTTCACAACTTTTATTTAACTTTAAAAGAGCAGCAGTAGATTTCAGACCTGAAGAAGGTTTATGAGCCCAAAAAGTTGTCTGAGCAACCTGGAGAGAATACTGTAGCTAGAGTCCCACAATTGGCCTAAGGCAAGAGCAGGTGTGCTGTTTCTGACCAGTGTTTAACTTGTTTTCAGAGGCTTTCAGTGATGGTTGCTCCACATCTCCTTTCCCTGTGCTTCACTGTTACCCCTCCACTGGGTTTGGGGGTTTAACACACTCCCCTTTCTCCTACTCCAAATCTTTCTTGCTTCAATTTGAGCTAGTTATATCCTGTCTTACCAGCCTGGGCATGGAGAACAAATTGTTCCTGTTTGACAAGAGTAAAATGCTTTTCTCATGTCCCTTCCCAGTCTTCTGCTGGTTCCCAATTGTTCCTAGCTTTCCTTGTAAGTGAGGTTTACTCGCCTCTCTCTAGCTGGTCTGTGTCTGGACATACAAAACCCAGACTTAAATACTGATGTTTCATCTAGACATTGCCTTGCGTTGCCTTGCAGGCAGTGCTGCTGCTTTCGCACACTGGGATGATGGCAGCCTTTTTATTTTTTTTTCTTTTTTTTTTTTTTTTTCAGGGGGATTTGACAAGTTCCCAATTGTTCCTAGCTTTCCTTGTAAGTGAGGTTTACTCGCCTCTCTCTAGCTGGTCTGTGTCTGGACATACAAAACCCAGACTTAAATACTGATGTTTCATCTAGACATTGCCTTGCGTTGCCTTGCAGGCAGTGCTGCTGCTTTCGCACACTGGGATGATGGCAGCCTTTTTATTTTTTTTTCTTTTTTTTTTTTTTCTTCAGTGGTATTGTTGACTAGTGATGCTTCCAGTGGGCCAAAAAACAGCCCCCAGGAACCCTCAACAGAGTTTCCAAGCTGTTCTTCCCATCCTGTATACGACTGTTCACTGCTGTCTAAATGCAGCACTTTGCACTTGCCCCTCTTGAAAAAACCATCTTGCTTGGACTGTGTTTCCATTTTTGCATTTTGAATTCTCTTCCCCTCCTGTGGTGCACGCAGTCCCTCAAGCCTCGTGCTAGCTGCACACTAGTAAGACTTGGGGCAGTTGGCGTAATTGGTCGGCTTGGGCTATGGGCCTTGCTTAACAGATCAGGTCAGCAAGAGGCATTAACTCAGTGAATAGGGTGCTGGAGTGATAGTCTCGGAAGCCCTGTTCTCTTTGCTGTGCCTCTGAGTCAGTGCAGTCTCAGGCAAGCCATCAGATATTCTTAATCTCTCTTTTTCTCCTGTGTAATCAGGATAATGATCTTCAGTTTCGTTCTGCTGTCTTTTGCAGACTGTTCTGCTCTGCTGGCCTTTGTGGTAGAGCTTCAGTGCTCATGTACATTTGCAGCCGCTGGCTTTGTTACTTCACTCTTGTATTTTAGTACAATAGCCACATTGTCAGACACAGGTGGTGTTTATTTCAACCATAACCTTCACCTGTCATGAAATATCCCCTTGGTATCAATTACAGCAATGTAGTCTTGTCCTTTGATTTGCTTCATCATAAGTATTTTTAGTCTTGAAGCTTCCTTAAACAAAGGAGTCCACACATCGGGTTTGCACATCAATAAACTCTTTATATGAAACCAAATTGCTGCTGTCCGGAGAACAGCTGAGTTGTTCATCTACTTGACACACAAGAAGCTATCCACAAACTTGCTTTTCATGTTGAAACTATGAGAAACCATGTTTCTGATAGCCTTCAGATATGATTGAATAAAGTGAAGGCTCCAAAGTATTGAAGCCGAAGTTTTTATGCTCCCCTTTCTGAAATTCAGCAGCAGTTTCTGAAACTGAAGTAGCAACATAGCTGGGAGTGGATCTTCAAAACTTCCTCTCTTCACTTTTTAGCTGCCAGCTAAAAGCTGTGAAGTGTCAATTTCTGAAAAAACTCTAGCTTTTTAGATGTGTAAAGAAGTGTTGAATGTTTTGGTTTATTACTGATGTTAGCATGCAGCTAGCATTGTAGCTGTACTGGAGACTGCCTCCTCTGCGGTGGGAGAACGCATTCTTCCCTTTGAAATCCTGTCTTATTCTTCTGGCTCACTTCATCAAACATAGGATTTATTCTTTTGCTCTTTGAAACCTTGCCTGCCTTCTTGCCTCTGTGCTTGCCAAGGGCCACAGGATGTTCATTGCGTACGCACATGCATCAACACAGCAAATGAACGAGATTAACTCACCTGTAAAGTCTGAGACCACAGGAGCCGGGCTGATGGACAAGCTGAAATTGCAGTCTTTTGTGTTACATTACTGTTGTGCAACCAAGAGAGGTAAACTTTCATTTAGTCACAAAGCACCGCTCCCTTTCCCGGCAGGCAGGACTGAGGCATATTCTGTGCAAACCTCGTTTGGAGAGGTTGGCTGTGCCGTCTCAAGTCAGGCTGTGCTGACCCCTGCAAGCACAGAATGTCTCTGAAGCAGCACCGTGAGCCTCTGCCTTGTGTGCTGGTGCGTGAGTAATTACAGTGTTTGCTTCGAGATCAATAATTGAAGCAGATGAGGAAGAAGATATTTGCCTTATAACAACATTTTGAAGCTATTTCTGCATGAAATCACATTATTTTTATTAGTTTCTGTGCTAGATAATTTTGAGTACCGTTTTGGATATGTTGCCTTCGTAGTCCTCAAAGTCCACCCTCACTTGCTGAGCAGCCCAAGACCTGATAGTAAAACCCTGTAAGTGGTATTTGGACTAAGATAACTCTAGGTTTGTGTTACAGCTCAAAGCACATTTTGGTCCTGAATGTGCCCAGGGACTAGAAGTATTTGTAGATGGTTTACATGTCTTGTGTTTTCCTGCCAGCCAATGAGGGACAAAGTTGAGGCTGGCTTTGCAAATATAGTTACAGAATTTCCTGACCTGATCCAAGGGATTCACTTTGCACTTAAACATTCATATTAAACCTCTTTCTGGAGGTAGTGCATTTTTTTTTATTTGGAGGGGAGGTGGTGGTAATTCCCCTCCCTATCCCCCCAATAGTACCTTCTTCCTTACTACCTTTGTTTAGCCAATTTGGTAAGACAGTAAAATACCTATGCACTTGATTTTGTATGCCAATATATGGTAGCCATAAAAATGGGCAGTGACTGTTGTCAACAGTGAATGGCCCTTTCTTATGGATATGGCACAATAACTAAGGATGAATGATAATCAGGAAGTAGTTCTACTTCTCAGAGTGAAAATTGTGGCTTTGGCACAAATAAGTAATCCTCCCTGTACATGGACCTATGACATGTGAAGCAGTCAGCAGCTTGCAGCCTGGGAACTGTGAAGGAGGTCTAAGATGTGTAATTGCTTCCTTGTAAACTGCCTGAGTTCTTTTCTAAGGATTGAGCTGTTGCTTCAAAATATGCTATTATAATTAATAACTGTTGTGGTTTAACCCATCAGGCAGCTAAACACCATACAGCCGTTTGCTCACTCCCTCCCCGCAGTGGGATGGGGGAGAGAATCAGGGGAAAAAAAAAAAAAGTAAAATTCGTGGGTTGAGATAAAGACAGTTTAATAGGGCAGAAAAGGAAGGGAAAATAATAATAATATTGATAAAAGAATATACAAAGCAAGTGATGCACAATGCAATTGCTCACTACCCTCCGACCGATGCCCAGCCAGTCCTCGAGCAGCGGCCCCCCGGGCCAGCTTTCCCCAGTTTATGTACTGAGCATGACGTCACATGGTATGGAATGTCCCTTTGGCCAGTTTGGGTCAGCTGTCCTGGCTCTGCCCCCTCCCAGCTTCTTGTGCACCTCCAGCCTTCTCAGTCGGTAGAGCATGGGAAGCTGAAAAGTCCTTGACTGGTGTAAGCACTGCTCAGCAACAACTAAAATGTCGGTGTGTTATCAACTTTGTTCTCATCCTAAATCCAAACCACAGCACTGTACCAGCTACCAGGAAGAAAATTAACTCTATCCCAGCCAAAACCAGGACAATAACAAAACGTTGAAAGCTCGAGAAACTTGCAGCAGACTCTGAAATATACTGACTTTTAGGAGCCCGAAGTGCCATTCAAAAGGAATTTTTCCAGGGCACAGGAAGTCCATAAGTCTGTGACAATGTTTCACTGCTGCTGTCTATATTAAATAGGGCTGCACAGACAGGTTGCTGTTGGCATTTAACACTGTTGCTTACAATTTCCAATATTAGCATTGATGTGCTTTATATTTCGAAGTGTAGAGAGTATTTAGGGCAATCTAGTATGCTCTGTCTGTGAATTTGCTCTTGATCTCCCTCTCATGTCTGGCACATGCTTTCATGTTCTTTGCAAACTCAGCCCATAATTAGCACAATCTCTATGAACACAGCTGCCTGTTTAGAGGAGGCTGTACTCCGTGAGGCTCATATAATAATCTTTTGCATGGACTGAAATGACACATGGACACTTTTTTCCCTTATTTGTGAATGTTGTTTAGTAATGTTTGAAATTAAGATTCAGCTGCGGTATGTTGGCACTTGCACACAACAAATCCTAGACAGACATTTAAATAAAGCTGTAAGTGCTATGTTGTTGCCTAAACACACAACCACGCCCCTCCCCCCCCCCCCCACCCCCCATCGC